TTGATTTAAATGAAACTACTTGATAAAAATTATGTATAGAGAGAACTTTTTCAATAATCATCTATTTGATATGTAAAAATATATATATATTTTTTTTATCAGCCAAAGAAAATTTAATTTAATTTAATGAAGCACAAGGGGTGCTCCTGCCCATATACAAAAAATGGAAACCACGACAGAGGAGAGCCAATCTCCTAAAAACCAGAGATTGACAAAGCTTACATATCACAAACAAAAAACGTCAGGTGCCCAAATACTCCACATTTGAAGACAAAACATCCCCGCCTATCCATCAACTAGAGGGCACGTGAGCTTTATAGAACTGCTTCCTCAACCTTTTATGATTTTTGACAGCCATTGCACACTCCATTGGACAAGATTGCCATTCGTAGAAAGAAAAAACACAGCCATTGATATGTAAAAATATTAATTTAAAGTGTATCTAAAAGTCAAATTAATTCAAAAATTTTTTAAAAACCGCAGAGAGTATTAACCTCAACAATTTTTGAGTGATGGATTCCTTCATACAATTGGGTCACCAGTTAGTTTTATTCAATCAAAGTATTTCCACTCAGGTCATACCAATTCCATATGTATGGATGCTTCCCTTTTTTTTAAGGTGATATTTTTCTTCATGGAAAAAACTTGCAACGACAAAATCAAAACAAAAAATAAAATAAATAAATAAAAACTAAAAACAAAAAAAACTATTCAATCTCCAAGTCTTTGTAATTTAAGAGAAAAAAAATTAGTCTAGGAATGGTGAAATTCATTCTTCTTTGTAGGTGATCTAGGCAATTTCGTGGTTGCTTCCTGGGAAAAAAAACTCTGTCCAATAATAGAAAATTATACACTTGGGTTGTGATGTGTGCTCTTCATCCATGGATATGAAGTCTAAGCTGCCCCATCATCTATGGTAATATATGCCAAACCTGTTTTAAGCCAAAGAAGATATTAGTGGGGAAAGCTTTCCTAAAAGTTCATTTGAGGGGAGAGTAGAGGAGAATAAGAAAGTAAACTTCCTGGTACCGGCACTGGCAGCACATTTGTGGCAGTGCCAACACCTGAGGCAGAAGCTCTAAGGAAGAGTGGGTGGTGGAATGCCTCCACCAACAACATTGCAGACCATTGCAGCTGGCCTGGCATAACATGCAACGGGGCAGCGAGCATTACCGAGATTAGTCCACCTGATTTCAGTGAGGGGGAGAAATTTGGAAAAATGTGTTGAAGAATTTTCATAATATTTGCAGGATTTGGGTTCGAATCACAATAAGTTGGTTCGAAGCAATTGCACAAAATGCATTTGAGAAAGTGTGACTTTGGTTCGAATCATATAATTATGATTTGAACCATTTATGTAAAACCAGAATCCGGAAAGTTACGATATTAATTCGAACCACATTTATTTGGTTTAAACCATTTACGTCAAAAATAAGAGATAAAATTCTGATAAGTTTCTGAAGAGAGTGGATAATTTTGGAAGGCAAGGAAACACGTGAGTTGGAGTTCAAATCAAACCAAATGACTTTTGGAAGAGTTTCCAAAGGATAAATTTCATGAAAACTCAATTACTATCCATTAATAAATTGATAATAAATTGAAAAGGAGCGTCTGTTCCCAACAAACATCTTTCCCCTATAAATATGAAGTTATTTCTTCCTCTTCTTCGTCTCTTGAACCCAGAAACAAACCCCTACTATTATCTAAATAAAACAGCCCATTTTTGCACTTTGACTGCTGCAGAAATCCTTGTACAAAAACTATTGTTTTGTCACTTTCCAAAGGACGGTTCAGTGGTTGATCTTGCTAGTGCAAAGGTAAGATCAACAAGGCACTTCATTATATCCTACGGGTATTTTAGGTTACCCTTTTTGCATACCAGATCTGGTGGGGGCAAAATTAGCCTAAAGGAAAGTGGCATTTACAGCATGCCTTGAAGCTATTTGCAGGTTTTCTACCCTATTTCTCCAACAATCTTTAGGCTAATTTTCTATTTTGCAATTATGGTTGCAACTTTGCGTGAGATGGCTACTAATTTCCAAAAGTTAGATCGCTTTGATGGGGGCAACTTTATTCGATGGCAACTGATGCACTAAAATCACCCTAACAAGTGTACTAGTAGCTCCAAGTAATATAATGATGAATAGAGTGTCGAACCCACGAGGATTGTGTTTAACTAAGTACCAAAATAATTAATCCAAATTTATTTGAACAAT